CAAAACTCCCAGAGAAGACAGTGCACGGGACTGAATGTGTGAAGTCACTAGTTTTGTCTAAGGGTATGTCTGCACTACGGAGACTACGCTGCATTGGTAGAGTGCCATAGCTAAACTGGCATAACCCCGTAATATAGATACAACCTACACTGACTGAAGGGTTTTTTTCTGTCAGTGTAGGACCATCGCCTCCCCGAGTGATAGCAGCTACATCGATGGAAACGTTCTTCTGTCAACATAACTGCATCTACATTGGGGTTAGGTCGGCATAGCAACAGTACTTTGTGGGGGGGAGGGTGGTTCACACCCCTGACTGATGTAGCTGTGTCGACCTAACTTTTAACTGTAGACCAGGCCTAAAGAATGACTGCAGAGCTGGTCCTTACCTAGCTATAAAAGCTGAGCTAAGATTTAAGCTGCTAAAGGTCTGATGCTGATCTTGTTTACGCTGATGATAATAATAATACTTATAGCAGTAATAACTCCACTTTAGTTAGTAGAGTTATACATTGGTTTGACATTGGCAAGTGAGGTCCTAACTATGGAACTGCTGTACCTTGACCCCTGTCTGTGAGATCAGCCAGCCCACAGACAAGAGGTTAACAGTGAGATATTACATAGTCATAGAAAGTAATAACCTGGCTCTGACTTAGCAAGTGTTCATGTAGGATGGTGCATTTTTAGGAATGCTATATTGGTGAAAATATATATATATATATAAATGGAGTGTTACAAGCATTGTTTAGTTCCCCATACAACCTTTATTCTTCCACTTTAGTGCAAATAACTAGAGCTCTGCTTGAACAGTGATTATGTTTATTTATTTTTATTATCCTTTACAGTGCTTGGAAGAATCCTGGCGACTTGACAGTGTAAACAGAAATATAAGGCCCCAAAGAGCTTAATTTTAGATGTACATGATGTGCTGAGGGAAGGGAAGAGTGGACAGATTTAAGTACGGTATTTGCTGTACAAGAACAGATCTTTCAGCCTAACTCTCTAATTTTCTTTTTAAGACATTTTGGTTTTTAAACTTTGTGGGAAGGTGAAACCTCAGCACTCCAAGGAGTTAAGGTCTCCCTCAAGCTGTGCCTGCTTTAGGGATTTTCTGAATATTTCCCAACATTAGCCTTCTCCACGGGTGCTAGCCACAAGCGCTAGTGTAGAGCGACTGCCAGTGTTCTTACCATTATGTGATCTAGACCTGCTCTGAGCAAGGACAAAAGCCTTGAGCCTTCTCTACACTAGAAATACAAAACACTACTGATTCCACCATTGCTAGCACTAATGGAGCTGCTTTAGAACTAGACCAACAGTAGGAGAATTTTGGAGACTCCTGTGTGACACAGCCTTAGTGAGACCTTTAATTCCCCTAAAATGTTAAAATTCATCCAAAGGTGGTGGTTGTTTAAGTTGTACTGAAATGGTGTATAGGTGTGTGCTGGACGCACTGCATGGGGTGATTTTCACCGTACATGAAGCAGTGTGCACACCTGTAGTGCTCTTTACAAATGCTGATGATAGTAATGTGTGTGAATCTGATCTCACTTATACCAGTACAAAGCAGGAGTAACACCTTTGAAGTCAATGGAGTTGCACCCAGTGTAAATGAGACCAGGACTGGGGCCCAGTGGCCTGAGTCCTGTGCATACTGCACACACGTGAGTTATCCCACTGATGTCAAAAGTCACACTCATACTTATGCTTGCAGGATTTGGGCTGCTTGCTAGATAATGAATCCTTTATTCCCACTGGTGAGCAATTGCTTGTATGAGTCCTCTGACTAACATCAGTGGGACTACTTAGCAAGTAACTGATCACCAGTGGGAGTGAGATTATGATTTTGGTTTTGGGAGGATTATGTTCTTTGTTGTATAAGTGCTTTATGTTACTGATTACATATCTAGGCCTAAAAATAGCCGTACTTTAACATCATGTATTGGAAAACAGAAATTAAGCACTACTATATGGAACTGCTACTGTACTTTGGGTGGAGTGCTGCAAATCGTGAACAGTCTGTTTGCACAGGTTTATTGCTCAAGATGGGAGTATGACCAGCAGATTAGGAGATGATATGTGACGTGTCCTTTCCTTAGTCTAAAAGTACAAGGTCATGGAATGAATGCTTTGCTTTACTAGTTGCACTGCAAGTCTGTTCGGATGTGTTTTTCTCTAAGAAAAAAACTATGTAAAACAAAAATATAGGATGACTCAAGTCAACTCCCTGCTCTCTCAGTGTATATGTGGAGCTCTATTACCTGTGTCAGATCCTAAGGTAGGTCTTTCTAGCACCTTATTTAAATCTGTGTTCTGATGCTGCTATCAGAGGAGTAGTTTTTAAATGCCAGATCTGCAGCTGGTGCAAACTGATATAGCTTCATTGACTTCAGTGGAGCTAACCTGATTTGCACTAGTTAAAGTACTAGCCATTAGCTAGGATCTACAGATTTGTTTGAGATCAATTTCATTTGCAATAGAACTCATAGTTTACCTATTTGCTCTATTTATAATAAATTTTGCATTGTCAGGGGAATAATTTAGTGCAGAATGCTACCTGTATTGATTCCCCCCTCTTATTACAATAATCAGATTAAATATTTAGACTACAAGGAACAATTCCTTCTAGTACCTAAAATTATTGTACACAATGATGCACTCAAAGGACCAACAAAAATTGGCTGCTTAATGATGGTTGCCTTCCAAAAAGGTGGAGCAGACATATCCAAACGAAAGACTGACAAATAAGGGATTTTGCTGTTGCAGATTTCATTGTATATTTCTGGAGGCTGATACTAGATTATGCATGTGCTGTGAATATATAAAATTCCAGCAACAGAAAATGGCTGAAATGTCATGGTGCCTTGCTCTAATTGACAACCAAATATTGTATCTTAAGTGCTTTCCTTGTTTGCTGAATATGTGTCATTTCTAATCTTTTAACGTTAGCATAAACGTAATATGGCAGGCTGAAATATTTGTTAATTAGAAGTGCTGAGAAGATAGTACATATTGTCTAAATTGTAATGCAAGCTGTAATAAAAAAATGGGCTGAAGGAAAGAGAGGAAGGAAGGAAGGAAGCAAAAGTAAATAGCACAAGCTTGTGGTATGTGTGAGTTATTACAACAGAGTCCGCTAGCTCAGCAGTGATTCACTATTACCATTTTAGCCTATCTTTTTTTAAGAGCTTTCTAATTCAGCTGAAATCTCATCAGGCATCCATCCAAATTGGTTGTCAGCCAAAGACACTATTTTCCTTCTCTCTCTTTCTCTTTTGGTTCTCAGTCAAAATTGTTCAAGAAGTTAAGTTGTTTCTCTGCTACAGAGCAGAAATTATGCCATTTGGGGCAGATTCAGCACTTTTCTGGTTCTCGTGTACTATTAAAGTTGCTTAAAAGAGTTTCTGCATTTACTATGGGTCATGCAACAAAGATGGTTTCATTGAAGCAGCCTTGGTGGACCAAAATATAGGACCAAGTTATTCCCTTTGGTGTAAAAATCTGTGGAATGGGAAAATATACCTACAAAATCTTGTTGAATTGGAGGGGCTGCTGTTCTGCCACATGGTTCCCTTACTAAGACACAAAGGCCAAGGGAAAGAAGCTAAGGACACTGAACTGAATACTGCAGTTCTTTAGAACTGACATCCCTCTATGCACCTACCAAGCTTCCTGCCCCCAGGATGGGTGGTATGGCAGGTGGATGTGTTGGCCCTTCAGCTGGTTTTCTATCTTTGACTACCTGTATATGTATCTTGTGCTTGTCTTTGGGGGTGTCACAGAGCAGAACTTAATAACAAAAAACTGCTACGTTAACCCACAAGTGACTTTGCTATGTAAGCTAAGACCACTTCTACTGAGGGAAAAACACACAGACCACCTGCCCTACGAATTCTTCCACAGTTCACCACCTCAAATGCATGCAGATTTTGCCCTGTGCTAAGCTGCAGCACAGAGGATGCCTGTGGCTATATACTGTAGACAAACCAGCAGCCGAGCAGCCTTTTCTCCTCCATTCAACTCTACATCCCTTTTCTGTGCAATTTCCATGGGTGTGCTCCCCTACACACTGCCCTGAGGGCCCATAGTGTGCAACATCGTAATTTTCAGTGGGTTGATCTTAGCAATTACATTTTATATAGATGTAAATTGTTCTAAATAGAAAAATACATTATAAATCAGGCAACACAGTAAGAGTTCAGATTTCCCTTTCAAGCATCCATGCTTTGGCCTTATGGAAGTGATGAACCAAAGCCCACATTAATTCACAATGAAACTGTCCAAAATTCACTGTTCATAAAAGTAATTAACAATCTGTACGCATCGCACCAGCAGATCTACAACACTTTCAGAAAGGGGGTGAGCATGGTTATCTTCATTTTACTGATGGGAGACTGAAGCCGTAGATCCTATGACTTGGCCATTGTCACACACTAAACTCCTTGTAGAGACGGGAATAGAGCTCAGTTCCCCTGATTCCCAGACTCGGTGCTTAGTCGCTGAGTTCACAGCTACCCTTGTTAGCTGCTTGCAGTGTTACCTCTTTTAATTGAGAAAGGAAAATAGAGCAGAATAATACATTTCTGTTGAATGTTTGCATAAAACTCTCTACAAAAAGAGAATACCGTGTATCATACTTTCTGTGCAGACATTATTTTCAGGCTGTTTGTTCAGCAAATTCGGTATTTATGTCAGGGTCTGTTGCCACTGGGAAGATAATAATCCAATCATAGTAATGTTGTTAGCAATGCTCATTTGCCTAATTCATGCTTATGATTGTGGGTCATCGTTAGCCATCACATACAGTGTAATGTCTCTGTGGCAAAGTTATGTATTTAATTTGTTACTGAAGTGTCAGTTGCATTTATTATAATATGTTGTTGTTTATGGATACTGTAACACTTTTATAGCAATTTAAACCATATGCCATATGAAAAACATCTTTTAATTTTTTCTGTATCTGAAAATGCTGTGGCTTATTTGACTTGTTCACCTTTAAAAAGGTTGTTGTTGATGACCAGTGGAGTATGTCCCCATCCCAGGATGAAGAAAGGACAGATGCACAAAAGTTCACTCCCAGAAGATGGGGCTCTGGAAAAAGATCTCGGCCAAGGCCACTCTCAGACTATGGTCAGTTGGCAATCAGGAGTTTCTCAATACCAGAAGATTCAGTTCCAGTGGAGTCTCAGAAAACAGACTGTGTAGATGGTGAAAGTCAGCCTGGATTTGCTTCTGTGGAGTCTACAGCTCAAATCAGTACAGTAGGTCACCAAAGAGGGCGAAAACGAAGACCCATCTCTTTAATAGGTGGGATCAGTTTCTATGGGAACAGCCAGACAGAAGAAATAGAAGATCTGCTGACACAAGTAAGATATAAGATGTGCTCTCTGCAAACTACAAAAGACTCTTCCACTTCCTTGCCTTTATCTTCAAGCTAGAAAATAGAGTGGACATTTCCTTTCCTTTCTTCTCTTTTTCCAAGTTGACCTCTCATACTTTGTTTCACTTTCCTTGTCTCTAATTTTTTTGTAAAAAAGCCATAACATAAGATCTTGACTTTTGGATAATCTTGCTTGCATTGTAAACTAACCCTCCCCTCTTTCTTTCTTGGGACGTTATTTCCCATAGCAGTTTAAAAATGCTTATTTGTCTATAATAAAGTCACATGTATTTTTGATTAGTCTACAAGACACAGGATGCAGGATTCAAGTGAGAGGTGCATACAAATAATATTATAAATTCAATAAAGTATTCATAATCTTTTGAAACTGAGCCTCTTAAAAAGCTTTGGGTATGAACTGCTTGGGATTAGCACATGTATAGTTAAATGGATAATCCATTCAAAAACATTGTACAACAGATCAGGATCTCAGACTGGATGTCTCGGGGATTTGATAACATGAAATGGAGTCTTTCCATTGACGTTAATGGGCTGTGGCTCAGGTTCAATCTCTTTTGCTTAAATGTGTCTATGAGCAGCAGCTAACCAAAATTGATATAATATGACAGCACTTGGGTAGCTTGTGAGAAATTACTTAGTCCAGTTTCTAATTGACAGATATTCACATCAGAAAAACATTCACAACTTTATTCCTTGGAGAATTCTGCACTACTGTGCAATGCAGCATTTTTCAGAAATTAACGTTGTGCGGGCAGAATTTCCTTTCCCCCACAAAAATGGGCTGCAGTGCTGTTGGCCACCACTAGGGGCCGCTGGACCCACCAGCTCGCACATCAAGACGCTGCAGGGGGAGAGGGAGGGAGCTTTTGGGTTCCTGACAGCTGCAGTTCCCAGCATGCCCTGAGGGAAGGAGAGGGCGGTGCACAGGAAATTCGGTGCAAGCCTGGGACTGATCATCAGGCTGTTTCTCTCTCTGGAACCCTGGGCTTTGGGGCAGTGGAAGGGGGCAGAGAAAGAGGAATTGGGTTGTCATAGGGATTTCTTCAACTCTCTACTCCTGGGGGAATTTTTTTCTGTCTGTATTGTTACAAACATACTTGTTGACAGGTATGTTGAAAAAAAAAACCAAAATAATTGAAACTGACATGATTATGTGGTGTTATTTTGACAAATAAAATTTGTAGAATTTTTCAGAATTTTAAAATACTGTGTGCAGAATTTTTATTTTTTTGGCACAGAATTTTTTGGTGCAGAATGCCCCCAGGAGTAAGTACTTGAACTGGCCCCTCTGTTGGGTATGCTAAGAGGTCAAGGAATGAATAAATTTGGGAAATGAAAGCACCTCTTTCACCCCTAGACGTAGTCTACAGCACTGAGTTGAGGCAGTGAAAAGAAGCCTGCATAGTTGTACATGTTCTACAGATAGTAAGAGAACTTTGGTCTCAAGTCCTATCCACAATGCATTCTCTCTGTTAACATGTTCTGTACGCAATGAAAAAGTTTGAGAACCCCTAGTTCAAGTAAATTAACTGAACACAGAGAAAAAATATAGCATTTCCTTTAAAAGTATTTTGAAGTTGTTAAAGAGACCTGATTGCTCTTAGTCTTAATTGTCCTCATGAGACTCTACCTCGTGCTGGGAAATTCAATACAGTGTCATTAAAAGCAAAGCCCCCACTGAAAAGAAACAATGATCCCACTCACTGTATGGGAATGCTAAAACAATGACAGGTTTTTCAGAGTTGCCTGTGAAAACTATTTTTTAACATGGATATTCTTATGTAGTCCGTAATTCTTTTGCTGTGTAGTATAATGCAGTTGTCCTTTACATTTTCCTGATCAAAAATAGCTGGATCCTCCTGTACTCTTTTCCAGCAAAACTGATTGAAATCAATAGAAGTTTTGTCTGTGTACAAACCAATGCTGCAGTCCCTAATAAAAGATCTATATTGTTTAATTAGTTCATTAAATAGTTAAATTTTTGTGTTCATGTGAGACCTTAACATTATTATCAAATCTATGCCTTCATGAATTGTAAATAAATAATAGTTGGTTTTCAAGAGGTGCTCTTTAATACTGTTAGGGCTTTAAGTCCAACCTACCTTGAAAGGTGCCCCTTATTTCTTATGACTTACCTTTACTCCCACTGAAGTTCAATGGCAGTTTTTCTGTTGCCTACAAAGGGATCAGGATCAGGGCTTTAATGATTAAATCATAATTGCCCAGGAATAAATACATTAAAAGTAATTGGCATTGCGGATATTGGGTGTTTGTTATGGAAGAATTTGGAGTTGCTTTTCTTGCTTTAGTTCAGTAGTGCAGTTCCGAGATATTGATATACCATAGAGCAAATAATTTGTAAAGAATGAAATAATAATTAGATCATATTAAAATATATCAAGATATTTTTCAGCCCTGTGTTTGGTAGTTAAATTGCTAGTTTAAATGTATGAAAAAGACTTATGATTGAGGAACACATATATCAGAACTATTTCATAAAGAGCTTTTAAAGCCTAATTTTCATGTAGCAGATTTTTTTTTCTTGAAAGTGTTGAACATCAGTGGAATGTTAAAAAAGTGCTGTTAACTCATTTTGTTTTGTCAGACAGCTTCATGTGGGGGAAAAAGCTTTCAAGCAATAGTAAATCACTTGTGTCATACCAGTGGGTCAACAAATAGTTCATAGAGAGGATCTGGTGTATCTATATGCTTAATTTACAAACCTAAGAGGAAAAACAAGTAACAGACTAAGGCCATGTCTACACTAGTGAGCTTACAGCGGCACAGCTGTACCGATGCATCTGCACTGCTGTAAGATCGCTCATGTAGCCACTATGCCGACAGGAGAGAGCTCACCCGTCGACATCATAAAACCACCGTCACGAACAGCAGTAGCTATGTCGGCAGGAGAAACTAAAAGGTGCCAAATTTGTGTTAATGTAGTCCCGTTTCAAACAGGACTACATTAATATGGACTAGGTACCTTTTAGCTGATGCAACACTGTAGTTCACACCCCTCTAGTCCAGGGGCCATGCAGACAAGCTCTAAGAAAAAAACCAGGTTTAAGATTCTTTTTTGGTTTAACTATAAAATATGTTCCTTCGCAGCAGTACATTTGTCTCAAACAACATTCTGGGAAATTAATACACTGGTTGTATAATTTCTATTCTTTCTTTCTTTTCAGTGTTTCCATTCTGTTACATATTTACAGTTGGCTGACATTACAGTAAACTATTCTGAGATAAGTTAGCTACCAGAGCATTTAGACTTGGAATATTATGGAGCGAAGACTATAAAGCAGAATATACAGTGTCACTAAATGTAACAGAATGTTATGGAGTTTTCAATATAACAGAGAACCTTAATGCTATAAGATATTTACCATAATATTGTGTATGGAATGTGGTGGTCAATCAATTTAATGACTGCTTGAACTAGGGGTTCTTAGTGTCTGTATAGTCAGCTTGAGAGTGTAAGGAAACCCTGTGTCATACCTGTAGCTGTCTTTGGCTTATTGGTAGCTTTTACTTCTAATAATAATGGATTTTCTTTTTTCTCTCTGTAGCCAATAACAAGGCCACCTGTTCCAGCCCACCAAGTTCCCCCATATAAAGCTGTTTCAGCCAGATTCCGGCCCTTCACCTTTTCACAAAGCACCCCCATTGGCCTGGATCGAGTGGGACGGAGGCGGCAAATGAGAGCATCTAATGGTAAGTTTTACAGGTCTTTTTAAGGGGTTACACACGAAAATATATTACAAAAATGGAGAGAATGGGCCAATTCATCAGTGCCTTGGATGGTGAGTATAAACTTCACAGAGGATGTAAATCGATGCAAATGGTATGTTCCTGTTAGTGCTTGTCCTGCTATGCTTAAGTTACACTTGTGTTGTACACCCACTGAATGTTAAATTGTTGTAAGTTGCTCCCCTTTACCACTTGTACTCATATTTTCAATCCATGTACTCCCTGCTGCTCTCTGAAGGCTTGTCTATGTGGGAAGGTAGGCTGCATTAACTAAGGGCTTGTCTACACTGGCACTTTACAGCACTGCAACGTTCTCGCTCAGGGGTGTGAACAAAACACACCCCTGAGTGCTGCAAGGTTCAGCACTGTAAAGTGCCAGTGTAGACAGTGCACGAACACTGGGAGCTATTCCCCTCGTGGAGGTGTTTTTTTGCCACGACTACACAGCCACATTAAAGCGCTGCTGTGGCCAGCACAGTGAAGATGTGCCATAAGATGTGAATTTAAAGTCCACTAAAGCACATTAAGCCTTTGTGTGGAGGCTCTCATTCAGAAGTCAAGAGCAGCTGCTGAAAGAGAGTGTTGAGAGGGGGATTTAATGAACTTTAACTAAGCACTTTAAATTCACACCTAGAGTTAATTCAGATTAATTTCCAATGTAGCCAAGCCCTAAATCACCAAAGGATTTGTCCCAGAGATTGGTATGGGAGTTGTAGCTGCCTACCGAAAGGATGAATGTAGTCCATGACATTTATCCAGTTTTATGTGAAGTACAAATCCTTAGAAAGGACTGTAAAATCAGATGCCTTTTTGCAGCTGTGTCTTTTAATGTCCTTTTGATTTGCCCCTTACATTTACTTTCCAGTTCTACTTATCATTAGCATTTACTTGCCACATTATCTCAAGCTGATAGCAAGAACAATAGTATCTTCTCATAAATCATTAATTTGCAGGAGATGTTAAAAGAAGCTTGGTCAATATCATCTGTATTCTTTCAGATACTAGAGAACATCCTCTGAGCAATTTTACTCATTTTTCTTTATCAAGGGCCTAAGAAGTCAAAGTGCATTCTTCACTTCAGGCCCCTTCACTTCAGTATTCTAAAGAATAGCTGCTATAAAGCCACTTGCAACCTGCACTGTACTGCTCCATACATACATGGAGTAAGTAGCATTGAAATCAGGATCTACTGTGACTGCAGTGGAAGATCTTATCAAATAGCACTTTCAGTGTTTCTTTATTAAAAATTAAGAGCATTATTCAAATAACTTTTCAGGAGCCTATATTTGTTGCAGATTCATACCAGTTCCAAGTCAAATTGTTAACTAGATCATGCAACTTTATCTAAATTCCAGGGAAGGAAGACCCTTAATCCACAAGTACATTATTTTAGCTATCAGGGTATTTACATACTGCATGCTAAAATCCACAGAAGACAATCACTGAGATGGAAAAGTAATACTAGGTAAGTATTCAAGATACCTTTAGCCTCTTCTAATGTAATTTCACAACTAGAAATGGAGAGACTGTATACCATGGGACCAGCCAATTCTCCTCTGATCACTAGCAGGTGCTCCATGGACCACAGTTTGGGAATTACTGGATGTGGTATTGAGATTGTGTGTATAAATATTACAATATTGGAGACAGTTCTAAGCGTAGAAGAATTTATAGTCCAACTTGAAATGATTAAGTAGTACATCTCTCCATGAGTAGTCCCATTGATTCCAGTAGGACTTCTCACTGAGTAAGGAACTCATCCATCGTGAGCTAGGATGGAGAAATCAGGCCTTTAAATATCACGAAGTGGGGATTTTTTTTTAACGTAATACTTTCTGTTTCATCTTTGGAAAAACAGCATTGGCTAACAAATACAGCTACCTCAGATTAATTTCTTCTTTGTTATTTTAGCTTTAGTATACCCAAGGTTTCATAAATATCAATGTTTGAGGATAACAGATTATTAAAGTAAGGATTTCTGTCATTTGGGAAAGGAGTGAAATCAAAGCAATGCTGGTCATACCTAGATGTTACGTTAGCAAACTAGTTATAATAACTACGAAAGTCGTACGTGAATAGCTTTCTAAATCAAAGCCCTGATGGCAAGTGGGTGGAATATTAGGAGACAGCAAGAGAAATATATCTATTTTTTCTTAGGCCTGGTTTACAGTACGCGGTTATTTCGGAATTAGCCGAGTTAATTCGAAATAAAACTGATTTCGTCCACACGACCAAACTGGTTTTTTCGATTTAAAGGGCTCTTTAATCCGATTTCTGTACTCCACCTCGGCAAGTGGAGTATCGCTTAAATCGAGATCGCAGTTCCGGGTTACAGGTACTGTGGATGCAATTCGACGTTATTGATCTCCGGGAGCTATCCCAGAATGCTCCCTTGTGACCACTCTGGACAACACTCTCAACTCCAATGCACTAGCCAGATAGGTAGTAAAAGCCTCGGGAACTTTTGAATTTCATTTCCTGTTTGGTCACCATCAGCATAGTCCACCATTACAGGCGACCATGCAGAGTCCACCATCACAAGAGACCACGCAGTCCCGGATTAGCAGACGAGCTCCAGTATGGGCCGAACGGGAGGTACTGGATCTCATCGCATGTTGGGGAGACGAATCTGTTATGGCAGAACTACGTTCCAAAAAAAGAAACGCAGATATGTATGCTAAAGTCTCCAGGGCCATGACAGAAAGAGGCTACTCCAGGGACACAGAGCAGTGTCGTACAAAAATCAAGGAGCTCAGGCAAACGTACCAAAAAGCCAGGGAGGCGAATGGACGCTCTGGGTCACAGCCCCATACGTGCTGCTTCTACCGGGAGCTGCATGCAATTATGGGGGGTGATGCCACCACTACCCCACCGCTGTCCGTGGACACCTGCAAGGGGGTAGTTGCACGGAGTGAGGAGGATGAGTTATTGGAGGACAAAGAGGAGGAGGAGGACAGTGCACAGGCAGCAAGTGGGGAATCCATTTCCTCCCCTAGCCAGGAACTATTCTTAACGCTGGAGCCAATAGCCTCCCTCCACTCCCAATGCGGGCTCCCGGACCATGACCCTGGAGAAGGTACTTCTGGTGAGTGAGAGCCTGATTGGAGCCACACGATGTGGGGTGGGGGGAAACCCCGCCGCGCTGGGCTGTTCGTGTTTAGTTTAAAGGGCTCATCCCTGCTCAGAGCCTCATCGGAGCCACACGGGGTGGGTGGGTGGGTGGGGGTGTTGTGTGAAGCGATCATCCCGGAGAGCCTGCAGGCTCTCCTTTTATATGGCAAACCCACCAGGCATTGCTTGCTATGGGAAAGGAGGCCTGGCAGTTTGAAAGCATTGAAATGAATGCGGAAGAAGCAGAACACCGTATGCCCCTAGGGCTTACCATGGCTGCCTGCAAGCTGAATTCTGTTGCCTGGCCGCATGTGATGGCTTACTCACACCAAAGTGGCAGGCATTTCAGTATAAGAGGCAAAATGCGACCTTGTACAGAAAGAACATGTGCTGTGTACTATGAATTGCCTGTTTCAATGAGAAAGTGTCCCCTTTGTTCTCTAAAATGTATCTTTTAAAATACTACCCTCCCCTTTTCTCCTCCAGCAGGTGCAAATGTTTCAATGTGGCCCCTATCTACTCCGTCCCAGAGGCTGGTCCAGATTAGAAGGCGGAAAAAAAGAACTTGGGACGACATGTTCGCCAAGCTCATGCAGTCCTCCCACACTGATAGGGCCCAGTTGAATGCGTGGAGGCAAACAATTGCGGAGTCCCATAAAGCATTTGATGAACACGCTGATGTCGGTGAAGTGTCCCTTGTGATCTACCAGTGCTTGCAGCACCATGGAAAAGTACCCCTTGTGGTTTACGTACTGGCCGCCCTGGTGTTCCGGGGCCAAGATAGGGATATGTGTTCCGTCTATTGCCCTGCCGCAGTTAAGGAACCCCAGCGCATTAAAGCCATCCACAATGGTCTGTACATTTCCCAAAGTCACTACCCTTGATAGCAGCTGGTCAATGATTTCATTGGCTACTTGCAGTACAGCAGTCCCCACAGTAGTTTTGCCCACTCCAAACTGATTCCCGACTGACCGGTAGCTGTTGGGCGTTGCAAGCTTCCACAGAGCTATTGCCACTCGCTTCTCAACTGTGAGGGCTGCTCTCATTTTGGTGTCTTTGCACGTCAGGGCAGGGGACAGCAAGTCACAAAGTTCCATGAAAGTGGCCCTACGCACATGAAAGTTTCGCAGCCACTGGGAATCATCCCATACTTGCAACACTATGCGGTCCCACCAGTCTGTGCTTGTTTCCCGGGCCCAGAATCAGTTTTCCACGGCATGAACCTGGCCCAATGCCACCATGATCTCCCAGTCGCCACATCCCAATCGTCTGTGTCCATGTCCTCGTCACTATCGTAATCGCGCTGTCGTCGCTTTCTCGCCCAGTTTTGCAGGTACTGCACATACTGCTGGATAATGCGCGAGGTATTTACAATGGTCAAAACTGCAGCAGAGATCTGAGCGGGCTCCATGCTTGCTGCGCTATGGTGCCTGCACGGGTAATCCTGGAAAAAGGGCGCGAAACGTAGGAGAGCAGAGTGCAGCAGAAGAGGTGCTGTTCAGTTCACGATAGCCGAAAAAAGGCGGGAAACGGTTGTCTTCTGTAGCTTTCACGGAGGCAGGAGCCCAGGACAGACAACGTGGAGAAGCTCAGTAGCGTGGCAAGAGCGGGAGAGCAGAGTTGGCGGCGGAAGCTGTGCTGCTCGGTTCACGATGGCCGAGCAGAGTTGGCAGCGGAAGCGGTCGATGAAGAAGAGAAAGAGTAGATACTTATGGAAATTACATAGAAAGATGAGAGGAAATGCGGATTCATAGTACCAGGAGAGAAGCAGTGCACCATACTACACCATCTGCTGAAAGCAGTATGGCGTCTGCACGCCAAAAAGGCGCGAAACGATTGTCTGCCGTAGCTTT